GCAGACACACCTATAAATAATTATGTCACCCAATCACACACAAAAACTCAGCACACACTGATGCTGTAAAGATGCAAATCTTGGTAATTAGCACGCAGGCACACGTACGAAAACAGACAATGATACTGTACAAATGCAAATACAAGCAATTATCTCACACAGTTACAGTCACACACACACAGACGTATCACTCCAGCGTGCTCTTCCTCTCTCACAGTAAATTAGTCGGGTAAACAGCGAGGTCACATTCCGGTTAGCCTCTCAACAGCCGCAGCCCGGCAGCTGCCATCACCACCTCTGTCGGCTTCACACCGTTAATTAGCCGCCCTCAGATGCCAATCAACTGCGCTAATGAGGACAGCTCTGCCTTTCTGCCTAATGAGAGAAACTCTCCAAGTGTCTGAGGGGAAAGTTACTGTAACCGCAGGGACACACCAGACGAAGAGACACATTAAATCATGCACACACACATTTCCATTTTCATTTTGTGCATACATCCTCCTACTTTCCTACCAAAACAGTTAAATGCACTGCCATTTATGTTTATTGATTTGTTTACCTTAATATGACACAAGCAACAAACAGACATTGTGCATTTCACCACAACTGTGTAGAAACTGAATGTTCAGAACATGTTGAGCACATGAATGGACATGAATGGAATACAGAGCAAGAATGGTGGAAAATAGACATGGAGAAAACAAGTATCCATTGTAACTGACACTAATTCAACCAACCACAAAGGCTGTTCTTTTAATGGAAGGAACATTTCACATTTCACATTTTTCAAGCCTACAGGGGACACTTTCAGGAGAAGGGAACCAAAAACAGCAAAAACATTTAGCTTTTGCTGTGTCGAGTCTCTGTGTCGAGTCTCTTACTGTACACCCATGCTCACTAGCTGGCAGTCTTGGTGTACAACATCACCTACGTGCATGTGCTTGCGTGAGACATAAACAAAATAGCAACAGACTTATAAAAGCATTGCTCCATAGCGCCACCAGTGGTCAAACACTTCACACAGCACCTTTAAGCAACCGAACGGGATCACATTCAGATGTGTGCAGATATATCTGATGCGGGTTTTGTATGGTGCACTGTTTCTCATGCTTTATGTTGCTGTTTGCTTTTACTGTACACATTTTTAGATTATTTCCTTGTTTACATCTTAAAGTTGACAGGTAGTAGCAGTAGTCTGCCAAGCTGTTTGTCTGAAGGAGTAAACCCCATCAATCCACGGTCAAAAGCACACCTGGGTGAAGCTCTGTTTCGACTGGCTAACCACACAGTTCACCTCCAGGTCAAGGTGAGTATATGTGTGTGTGAGAGACATCAAGCTACACTCCCATAATTCTTGGGTTCCCCTGGGCTAAAGGGAGGTGCTGGGAGGGGGCACTCTGGTACATACACACCCACACACATTCAAGCAGCCTCTGGGTATCATCAAAACACACAAAGGACTGTTACTGGGTGTGGAGCGAACCCTTCACACAACCGCACACAGCCAACAAAAGACTGGAGAGACAGAGAAATGACAGTCTAGTTAATCAAGAAAAGGAAGGGGATGAAGCAACAAGACAAATGCATATGGGAGGAAGACAAGCGGACAGGAAATCAAGCAAAGACTGAGGAGAAAGCTGTGTTCATGATGATTAATCAGAGAGAAAATATCCACTGGAAGCGTCCTAACATTGAACAGGTGTTGATATGACAGCCTGCACCAAGAGTGAAGCCCTAAGAATGTATGAAGAAATCAGGGACTCAACTCTAGTTGCACCATTTTGTGAAATCCAGACCTAGACGTCTTTCTGGTATCACTTCTAAACAGTTCCCACAGGTGAAGCTTTATAGTGCTCTATATTGAAAATAGGATCTTACTATGCATGCTGGGTTGAGCTTCATGAAACCTCCATCAGAAGCTTATAGAGGAAGAAAAACTGCAGCATTCAAACAGACTCCCAGAAGGCTGAGGCGAACTGGGTGATGATGAAGTGTTGAATGTCCCAGTTAAGAGTCAATTTGTTTTAATCAGAGGTTTTGCCAACTGGTTCAGAGTTGGATCAGGTAACAGATGAGCTACTAATGGGCTATAAATAAACAGGAGTAGTTTCCTCAGGGGCCCATTCAGACTGGGGTTGTTCGGGTCTGTGTTTAGATTTTTTGGTTTTTATGGGGGTTCATGTAACGGATGTCACATAAATATCGAAAACGATATGAATGATTTGCATTCCTGAAGTCCTTAAAGGACCAGTGGGTAGGATTTAGTGGCATATAGCAGTGAAACATTTGAATACAGCTCGGCCTTCCAAGTGCTCTGGCTCCTGTAGAAACATGGCGGTTTAAGTTGGTGGCCTCCTCCTCCTCCTCCTCAGAA